GAAGAGTTTAGTGAAAATTAAGGAAGAGACACGATGACTTAGAGTTAAGGCATATGCCTAAAGTTAAAATCCCAGCTTATGTACTAAATGGATGTGTGAACCTTGACAAGTTGTTCAAGCTCCGTAAATTCATTTTTCATATTCATAAAATGGCGATGATAGAAGTACTTATTATTGCATCATAGAATTGTTGGAGGATTTAATTACATAATGGATATAAGTGCGTATGTAGACATTTAAGCAATAAATATTCACTTTTCCTGAGAAAAAATATGTAATACATAAATAATGCCTGGGCAAGTGGAGATCTAAATCCAAACTTTATTTCAGAGCTTAACTGTGTTTTATGTTTTAAAATACATTATAATTCAGTAAAGCTGTTTTCTGAGGGTGTTTAGTGAGAAAGGTAATCATTATGTAAGTCAAAGATTTTTTTATATATAATCTTCCTCTTCTCCCTGGAAGAGATGATAAAATCAGTCCTTAGCCTTGATGTGAACAACCTTGAGTTGGTGCTAACAAATTGTCTTCAGCCTTTTTTATAAGCAGTGTCAGCTAATTGCTAATCACTCTTCTTTTTGGTTATTTATCCTAAAGATAAGAACATTAGTAAGCCATAAATACCCATTTTGTAAAAACTGCATAGCTAGACAGATTTGTAATCCTTATTAGGGTAATAATCCATCTGTTATGGAACTGGATCAATTTGTAAATTAAATTGATTAAAAGGGGGAAAAAAAGGGCCATGACTTTTCCCCCATTAAGCATTTCCTCAAATGCTAAAAATATTTGGGGAGACTCAAACTCTTCCTCTCTTTGCTCAACGTAGAGGGAAGGCCAAATATCTATTAAAAAGAGGTGTGGGTGCAGTTTATGTTTATTTTTTTAATTCTGATTGCTCCTGAAAATTTCATATTTTTGACAGGGTTTATTGTTAAAACCTTTTGATGACTGCCAGAACATTTCTACTGTTCTCACTGATCAGTTTAGTAAATGTGTGACTATGTTTGAATTTTCTTCTGCACTTAGCTCACTTTATTGTTATTTTTATCCTGTCTGATAAAAAATCTCCTGATGATTCTTCTAACAATGTGTGATTGGAATAATAACTTCACACACTGAAGAGTTTTGTGCTGCAGCTGAGAGGCATGTAAATACAAGCTGCTTATTTGCAAGAAGCTTCCAGATTTGCAATATGATTGCTATGGAAACCACATAATGAAAACCTTATAACCATCTGTGTGGTTTGATGGATTTTACTGCATAGCTGAGCTGTTTTTGTTTACTGTTATTAAAATGTTGAATGGAGTGTATTAACTCACAAACACTGGCTCTTTGAGATATTAATTAGTATTGTACAATGATTGTGCCTCAACACTAAAATACATATTTAATAATAAATCTAAATAAAAAACATGTGAATGTATATATTTCTAATATATTGTGAAGGTGATTATTGCCTAAAGTTTTGGTCACTTGTTCTTACATGTATTTTTGGAGAGCTTTGTTAAGATTTATTTTTATGATTTTTTAATCCATTTGTTCACTCTGTATTTATTGAACACCTCCTTTGTGCCAAGTTCCATTCAAGGTTCAGTCTGAGGGTTTTTCCTGCCCAAGATTCAAAAACATACACAATATTTGATTTTGTTATCTTTTATATGAAAGCTGTTTGTATTGCTAGTCCAAGATAAAATGAGTTGTTTAAATATTAAGAAAAATTGATATAAGAAATGCATAAGGCTTTGATTTAAAAGTATCATTACCAGGCTTAAAATGGAAAAAGGAAGTGTCCTTAATGAGCATCTCATCCTCTAAAATCTGCGTATTAAATATCATCTCACATGGATTTCAATTTGGATATTAAACATTGATAAGTAAATTCTTTAATACCATTATTCTTATAATTTAAGAATACATATTTCTAAGGACAAAGCTGACACCAATATACAATTCAGAGCACACATTACTGACACTTAAATTTTAATAAAATTAAAAAATCATAGACAAATACTTCTAAATTCATTGTTAAGTTTGCCAGAGAGCAGCATTTTTTCATTAATTACTGTAATCAATTTTTTATCTTGATGCTAATTTGGGTGGTGAAATCTAAATCCCACAGTCTCTTTTTTTATTTTTGAGATGGAGTTTCATTCTTGTCGCTGAGGCTGGAGTGCAGTGGCACGATCTTGGCTCACTGCAACCTCCACCTCTCAGGTTCAAGCAATTCTCCTGCCTCAGCCTTCTGAGTAGCTGGAATTTCAAGGGCCTGCCACCATGCCCAGCTATTTTTTGTATTTTTAGTAGTGATGAGGTTTCGCCATATTGGCCATGCATGTTTCGAACTCCTGACCTCAGGTGATCCACCTGCCTTGGACTTCCAAAGTGCTGGAATTACAGGCATATGAGCCAGTGCACCCAGCTCCTGCAGTCTCTTTAAAGTCAGGAATAGTTCTTACTGCATTGACACGGTTATAGCTTTTGACTGAGGAAAAGTGCTTTTAACCATTTTTTAATTTACTTCTTACTATTGAATTTGTGACTAAATTAAAAGAGGAGTGGGTGCTACAGAAAGCAAATGTGAAAAGTAAGGAAAGCTTTCTCCTTCACCTTTTACAAAATTATCTGTCAATAAAATGAGGTTAGAATAAATGACTGTAAATGCCCCTTATACCTTTAAAAATTTCTATGGAAACACTGTATTAACCCATTTATTAAAGCTAGTCCTCGAAGTTTGGCATATGTGAGATAACAATTGTTAAAAAGAAAAGAGACAGGATACTTTTTAAAAGTGTAGTATACTTTCATTAGGTCTTCTATTTATTTGACTGAACCATGTTGTCAGTGTTGGGTTTAACAATATTAATAAAGTACCAGATATTTTCAGGTGTCCCTTATATTGGAGCTATCATTATTTTGTTTGAATTGAGTTACAAAAATTCATAACAGTTCTATTCATCACATAAGTACCACTACCTTCAAGCTTGATTGACATGCCAATTTTGATTCATCCCCATTTAAAATTTTCAGGAGACCCCTAAATTTCCACCTGCAGTCCTGACTGCTCTACCATACTTTGCAGTTGCCCCTGGACCTGTTCTCTGGGTTGCCCCACCAATACATTAAATCCCTCATGTTGAAAGCACAACTCCTTGTGTTCACTGGTAAGACAGGTTATCTTGGCCATCCTCCTTTTAGTAGTAATATGCCATTTCTCAGCTAAGCTCAAAACTTTAGCCATCCTTTGTTGCTCTTCCCCCCCCCCCCCATTCCTCCACATTCAGTCAAGCACAAAGCTTATCCATTCTAGTTTCTTTACCTCTCATAAGCATCTCCTTTCCATTGCCTTTTCCCCTTCAGTTCAGGACTTCCTTCCCCTTCTTTAGGTTATCTGAGACAATGGGATCAGATGTCCATTCCTGAAGATAGCTTCAGTCCTGCTCTTTCTCTGCTCAAAAACCTTCTAAGGCTCTTATTGCCCACCAAATAAAAGCCTGAAGTCCATAACAAGATGTTCATCACCCCTCAACAGCTGGTCTAAACTATGGGCATAACTCCTAACTGGCTCTTTGCCTACGTGTAGCAGATTCTTTAGTCAAAATGAACGTAACGGTACCTTTTTCTTTTAAAGTTCATACCTATCACTCTGGAAATATCCTTCTGACACTCTCTCCTTATTTAAATTCTCTACATCCCTTGGAGCCTCCATGGTACTCCCTAGTTGGGTGATTTCTCTGCTATGCTTCTTCATTACTTTGTGCCTCACCTATCAGGTTTAGGCCCCTTCAGCCTGTTTTCCTTTAGATCTTGTCTTCTGTCCCATATGTGCTGTTGGCTTCCTGTGAGCAGAGGCTTCCTGTTACTTTTACCTCCTTGGTAGATCCCCTCTGTCTCACAGTTAGTTAATATCCAATGAAGATTGATTGATTGATTGATTGAATAGTTACCATGGCTACATTTATTTATTTTGCATATTTTTCTTTAAAGCTTAGGAGTTTTCTTGGAATTATGATTCTTTTTGAACCCAGTTTTTCTTTGGCATGCCATTTGTTTATTTGTCCTGCCTTAAGTATTTCTAGGTTTGTATGTAAATCATTAGGTGAGAAAAAAAATAACGTAATAAATATTTTTCTTGGTGTAAAAGAGTTAGTTTATTAAGTCTATTTAAAACTCTTCTCATTTAATTTTATCTTATTTCTTTCCACAATCTGGGGAAGGAATGGGATAGATGAATGTGAAACAGAAGTAAATAAAGCACTGGTTATATGTAGGATAAAGAACATTAACTTTATAATCACAAACCTAAGTTTGAATGACACACATTGGAAGTCACTTCACCTTTTTGAGTCTCTGAAAATATGCTGGTCTGTAGAATGAGAATTAAAAATTGTTTGTCTATGAGATTTTAATATCCAGCATTGTATATGATACATAATAGGTCCTCAGTATAATTTTGGGGGAATTACCTTGAAGGATGAGGATCCTTATAGTATCCTGTGAAGATTAAGTGAGAAAACATATGAAATTATATGATACTCAATAAATGATTTATAGGTTAACTGCATTTTTAATCACACATTTTCTCCTTGCTATATGATGTTTTAGGGACCATGATTTTATATATGATACTCCTGCCACACAATATAATGTGGTGCATCAGTATAATGCTTGGTGTTACTTTACTGGATTTAGGGCTTTACTGAAATGAAGATCATTCCAGATGAGTTTCTAAAAGTATTTAAAACAAAACAAGCAGTGCATTAGTACATATATTAAATTTTGCCAAGCCATTTGGAAAGGCTGCTATTTGGAAGTAGCTGGTATTTTCTTTTTTCAGTGTTAGATTGTTGAAAAAGGAATGTGAATCTTGAGTTGTTTTATTCTTTGAAAAATAATGTTTGTGTTATAAACTTTTAGTTTTGCTTTTAAAATGGAGTGAGTACTGTATTGTTTTCCCTGAGAAAACCCTTCAGTGTGCCATTGATAATGTTTGTTTACAGAAGAAGAAGAAGACAGCAGTGCTCCTGTGAAAGTGGAAGAACAAAGGAAGATGAGTCAGGACAGTGTTCATCACACCTCAGGTAATGAATTGTGTAGCTTCCTGGCAAACCTTATTGTGCTTTTGTTCACTTACATTTTATCCACGTTCTTACTGTTCTGAAGACATTTACACAGCTCCCCAAAGTTGGCTTGTTTGGCCTGGATATCTTATGGCTGATAAGCTGCTTAGTCCCATTTAGGATGCATGAAAACCACTTGAGAAGGATTTATAAAGTAAGCCAATTTATACAAGGTATTCCTTCCTGAATTACTTTGTAATGACTCAATTAGCTTTCATTTCTGCACAAAGGAGATTTAGTTGCATAAATTAGCTTATCATCATTGAGGAAGTGTCACTGCTAAAGGACAGTTTATAGATACAACATGCAGTTGCTGTCAAACCTATAAGAATGTAATATAGACATCTGTGTATACTTTGTGCTTGAGCAGAACAGACTTCTGCCATTCAGAGACTAACAGGGGACAACAAGTTGCCCAGGGGACTGGCAATGTAGACGTCTCTGAAAAGGTCAACTTGACACAGGCTCTGACAATCGACCCACAGCTCTGTCTTCTTTGATAAAAATCAGATAAACTTAAGACTGCTAATTGATCTGCAGCCTGTTTAAATGTTGGCCATGCATATCTTCATTGCATATGATTAACACAGCAAGCAAATGAATTGGGTAAGAAATGCCAGAGTCCAGTGACAGCAGCTTAAAAATTGGAAAAGGACACTGGTGGCCTAAAAGGCTAGGAAGGATGTTCCCCTTATCCATTTCCACTTGGCACATAGCCCCAAGTACTAATTATGAATGAGACTGGAAAAATAACTGCACACGCTCTGTGCAAAATCACATGATATGGACAACTTTTCTTGCTTGTTGTTATTTCCAAATAGCAGGAGATAAACCATATCTGTAGTGCAAGCATGAGGTTAGTTTTGATAAACCAGCAATTATTTTACACGGAAAGAAGAAAAAGACTGCCTTCTTATCAGGACTTTACACCTCTTCATAGCCACATGTCAGCTGGGGCAAGGTCTGCCATATCATCTCTGTGTCTTGCAAAAAGCTAGAGTTAGGGTCACCTTCCCCTCTCTGATATGTCCATACATCACTCTTTCAAGCTGTCAAGGCTGGGTGGACAAGAAGTGTATGTTCAGGAAGTGGCTTTCCAGAGTCCTTCCTACTGTGACATGTGGAAAGGAAACAGAGGCCTGATTCTAGACCTGGACAGGAAAGCAGAAGTAGGTTGCTACAAAAGGTTTTGGTTAGTGTTTTTTTTAGAAAGGAAGCAAGAACAAAATCATTACATGTTAGCACTCTAGTCCTATAAAATGCAACTATAAAACACTGAGGCTTAGCGAAACCTTGAGGACTCTGTTCAATAATAATTTAAGTGTATATGTTATGGGTTATATATCATGAAGCTTCTGCCAAAAGCATGTAGTTTTCTTTTTAAAAAAATTTCAGTGCAGGTATAGAAGGAAGATACATACAGGTGGTCCTTCCACAGATATAAATATTTTGGCTTAAAGCAATTGTATTTTTCAAAAACTCTTTAAAAGTAAACATCTCACAAATTTTTGCCTTTGAGGGTAGGAAAAAAAAAAATCAGTTTTCCTCAAAGGAATGCAGTAAATAGATCTAGGCTTTCATGCAATAGCTATATAAGCACTACAATAATTCTTATCTTTAGTGACATGAAATTCTTTTCAAGCAACAGTTTTAATGCTTTTGCATAGTAGTGACCTTTGCTCTTCCCTAGGCTGTCAAAGATGTAACACTAGAAGTTTGTTTGCCACGCAGGGCGGTGAGTTGACAAGGGTATTACTATCTTGCTGAGCATCACATGACATGAACTTCTAACCTTACTCAAGAATGTTATATATTTTTCACATTGACTGATTTTACTAAACGCTCCCCACACACAGACTTTTCTAATGTAAAATATGTAAGCAAAAACAAAATTAATCTTGTGTTTCTTACAAGTTTCTTCATTTTCAAACTTATATATCTTGCAGATATGTGAGTGACTGTGTGTCATATACATACACACACACACACACACACACACACACACCACATATATAAAATAAAGATTCCATTTGATTTTTTGAACATTATAGAATTTGCTTACTTCTCTAAAATAGTTTTTAAATCTTGTAACACCAAGGAAGATATTCTCCACTGTCTTATTCTCATATGTTTCACCTGTTGTCATGTTTTTCATCTTTGCAGAGTATCTATGTTTCATAACAATTCTGTTAGCTTTGTCCAATGATCTCCTCTTGTATGTTTTTAAAAGCAGGAGTAAGAACATTGTTTAAATCTTTCACCGGCTGGCTAATGTATTTTTTTTCCTTCTCACTTTCTTAATCATTCGTGCCTCTCATGACAAGAAACATAAGGTGTTTTGTTTTTTTTTTTTTTGGTCATTTTGAAACTATAGATCATGATGTGGATACAATAGGAAAATTAATCCATGTCGTAAAGACAACTAAACATAATTTGTGCTTTAAAATGTATGTTTATGACATTTGCCTCATCCCATTTTTTAAAAAAACGTATCTCAAATGGATTATTTTTCAGTGTTTAGGGGTGAACAGTGTTAACTTTTGCGAACCTACTGTGCTTTTGAGGCTGTCTATGCTATTTTTTTGTGTATGTTTAGCTACACTTTAAATTTTTACAAGTAAACTAGAGGAGATTGCTGCTCTCTAAGGAACAAGATTGTTCCTGAGTTTTGTGTCCAGATTTCATATCAAGAATTCAAACATTACTTCCCTGAGGAGACTAAGGCTAATAAACATCTATTGCCAGGGTTTTTTCCCCTACTTATAATTTTTCTGCTTTATAACTAGTATTGCATACTGAAATAGATAGACTAGTAAATCTTATATGTATGTAGCTGTGTGACATAAACAAATTATTCTTTAACAGAGTTCTCATATGGGACACAAAAATGAGGTTGATCTTTGGATAACATCATCATCTAGATTATAGAAAGCACAGTTGAAAATGCATCTTTTTCCCAGTATTGCCAAATCGCTAGCTCTGTTGCCTCTTTACAGCAGCAAGATTTAATGAAATGCTCGTGATGCACATCTAGGGAGAGATGCATCTTGCACACGGTGGGGGTCTCTCTTCCCCTCATGTGCTCCTGTAACTCCCATTAGTGTTAATGGGAGTTTCACCAAGCGTATCGAGGGGAAGAGAGACCCCAAAGTGATAAGGATTATGTGTTAGAAATCACCATATACTTTTCTTTTCCTTCTTTCTCTCCCCTCCCCTTTGAGAATCTATCAAATGAAAAACTATTGTAAGAGAATCTGAGAAAAGGAAGAGCAGCAGCTTGGACAGCTGGGGAACCCACTGGGACAACATAGCTAAGCCACAACCTCTACTCTAGTTTTTAGCCAAGTTTTGTTTCTTCCACCTTTTTGGAGCAAGCCTAAAGCTGAGCAGCATGGGGAAGACAGAGTAAAGAAACCAGCCATTTAGATCCTTTTACCTCCTAGCCAGTTACTGTGGGGGAAGACCTTGCATGTGAAATGATGTCATCCTCTCTTTGCTCTAATTCCCTGACTTTTAAACTGACACTGACGGACTGCAAGGGGCACAACATTTGACCCATTTACCAGTTGATTTAATCTGACTAGAATGTTTCAACTTCTAAATCTCTATTTGTCTAAATAAGTGGTTTTTAAAGGAAATCAGTCACTTTATTATTAAGTGATTTTTTTTTTCCTTTTTAAAAAATGGACAATGTTTGAAATGGTCTGACCAGCTGGAGTGCCCTCTAGTGTCCATTTTTAGAATTTACTTAATATATGCTTTGGGGGAAAAATGTAATATAGTGGCCACAAGCATTGTTAGTACTTGGTTGGTTCCCAAGCTTGTGTACATCCCTGCTGGTATCAGTGATGAATGCTCAAATGCAAGTATGGAAAAGTCAGTAAAGTATCTGTCTCTCCCACTGCTTCCTCCTTTCTGTTCCTCCTTCCGTCCCCACTCCCATTGTCCCTCATTCTTAGAAAACAAGAGACAAAAATTTAATACAGGGATTTTGCTAAGGTGTACGTCTTCTAGTCCATCTTTATTTTCTTGTAAGTGAAAAGCAGCATTCCATTTCCTAAATATTCAGACTCCAAATTATTTAGATTCTTTTTTGGCTTTAAAATATTTTATATATTAAAGAGAATTTTTAAATTTTCTAGTAAACTAACACTTTGTATAAATCACAAACTGTGTGTAATAAGATGAACACCCTAATGATGTGCTAATGTGACTGTGTTGGAATCATAAAAGAAAGCCTGCTGTTTGAGAGCCATGTGACAATACTGAGATGACAACCCTGGACCAGCATGTGTCTCAACAGTTATCCCCTCCGAATTCAAAGATGACATTCCAGTGATATAAGTTGTCAGCACATATGTATTCTGCCTAGCTAGTGACTACATGGACATCTTATTGATATTACTTGCATTCTTTTTGTGTTAACTCATCAAAACTCAATTATCATGAAATTAAAAACAGGAAACAGTTCTTCATGTAACAAAAGCGTCAGTGTGTTTAACTGTGTTCTGTGTTTCAGGAGATCCACATTGTATAAGTGACAAAGTATTTATTACCTATTTATTGTGGTATTACAGAGTGGAAAGTGCTAAATAATCAATCAGTTAATGGTCTGTATGGCAGTTTGAGCACATCACATCCATTGTGCTTATGCTGTTAGAAGGATGAGCTGATACTCCAGTGTACGTTGCATGTTTATTCAGAGCCTAATGTCCGAAACTGGAGCTGACAAAAATCTGTTGAAAAATGTAGCTTCAACACTGGCAATTTCAAAGTTGCTAAAAAATTTCAAAGATAACTTTGAGCGGCTTTGGGTACAAATGTCACTAAGGAAAACTGCTGCAACTACTCTCTATATCATTTCCACGTTGTCCTCGTCCATTAACCAGCTCTAGGGTTTAGTTTTTTTTTTTTGTTTTTTTTTTTTTTAATTTTGGTTCCTTAGTTTTGGTTTTATATTTGTACATTAACTCCATAAAATCTCAGTGTCGTTAGCATTTCTTAGGAGAATACTATTATTATTTTCATGGAGTGTCCCAAGTTCTATGAGATGGTTATTTCACAAAGTATGTGTTACATCTCATGGATATTGCTCATTGTGAAGTGTGGTAGACATAACTTCAAAACATGTTGCAAGTGGGCTCAGATTTGTTCTTTAAAATAAGTGGGAAGCAATCTTTAGGTGCTGGTTTGATGACAGCATATAGCAGTTACAGGTTTTAGATGAAAGGCAGAAAAAGAAAAGCAGAGATTCAAAATCAGATATTTTTGAAAGCTGCCTTAAGAGGATATTGAGAAGTAGGAGTCATGTGGATGTAATAAAATACTCATTTACTCAGGACAGAGTTTTTTTAGATTATTTTGGTGATCTAGGACATTGTTTAATTTCTGTTGGTTTATTTTGAAATGAGGGGTTATTACATGAATGCCCTAACTCATGCTTTCTCTTTCTTTTTCCTAGGGGATAAGAGCACTGATTATGCTAATTTTTACCAGGGTTTGTGGGATTGCACTGGAGCTTTTTCTGATGAGTTGTCATTTAAGCGTGGTGATGTGATTTACATTCTTAGCAAGGTAAGAAGATGCCCCAAAATGACATTTGTAAAGAGGGTATACAAAGCTTGATTTTTAATGCATTTGGATTCACAACACGAGGGAAAAATGCCAATTGGAATTCTTCTAGGTCCTTGTTAACAATTGGGAGTTAACAATAATTAATTATTTTGTCAAGCGAAATGTAATCAAATTTTAAACACAATCAGATAACAGGATTCAACTTAGCAGTGTGTTTACCTATCACTTCAGTCCTTGGCTCACATCCACCTACTGTCTTCTCCAGAAACAATATACTTATGTGAAAGCTAACATTGTAAGGTATTAGGTTATTTATTATGTTTTTCTTTCCTCTTCCTTTTTATTCTTCTGTGTGCTTATTCTGATTTTGTCTGCCATTCACTACTGGAAACACTGTGTTTATAGAACAAGTTTTTCATCTTTATGTAAATACATTGGGTGTTCCGACAATTTAAAAGCAATGCTTTTCTATTCAGACAGGCTTAGGTAATTTTTTTTTTTTTTTTTTTTTTTTTTTTTTTGAGACACAGTTTCGCTCTTGTTGCCTAGGCTGGGATGCAATGGCATGATCTCGGCTCACCACAGCCTCCCCCTCCCAGGTTCAAGTAATTATCCTGCCTCAGCCTCCCAAACAACTGGGATTACAGGCATGCGCCACCACGCCTGGCTAATTTTGCATTTTTAGTAGACAGAGAGATTCTCCATGTTGGTCAGGCTGGTCTCGAACTCCTGACCTCAGGTGATCCGCCTGCCTCAGCCTCCCAAAGTGCTGGGATTACAGGCGTGAGCCACCTCGCCTTTAAGTTGTTTAGCATACCGTGTTTGTAAACTAAATGGCAAAGTATATTTCTACAAGCCCATCATATATATACATATACATATTCATATATATATATATATATATATATATATACTTGTATCTGCTTCTTAAAATACTGGATTATTCAGAATCTTTCTTTCCTTAGATCTAAAAGTTTCTTATCTTGAATATACTTCTGGTAATGTATGTGAGCTCCCTTAATTTTCATATTTTAATTTCCCCTATTTTAATATGGGGATTTAAAAATTTCTCTTTGTCTACTTACAAGACTACTTTAGAAACAAATGATGGATGAAAACAATTTAAATATAAGTAGAAAATGTTAAATCATAAGTCTAGGAGTCTGATGTGGTTTCTTTCTTGATAAGAGAAATATTTTGGACTTTTCAGAGAGATGGTATGAGGTAGTTGTTAGATGCAGAAGACACTTTGGAAAGAAGATCACATACTGAATTTTAACACTAGATGGCTGGTGCATAAAATCATAACACAGAAAATCATCGAATGTTAGAGTAATGGGTCTCAATGATAATCATCTAATTCTTGGTTTTATAGATAAAGGAACTTGGGTCAAGAAGATGCCAGAGTCATGACTTGAGCTGTGTTCTTGACTCCCAGACCAGTGCTTTTCCCTTTGTTTTCCTTCCTGTCCTCCCTCCCTTCCTCCCTCCTTCCCTTCGGCACCTACAATGTGCCAGAACCCATTCTGACAACTGTGATAAAGTAAATAAAGCCAACTATGATAATTGCTAGTTAGGGTGCCCAAAGCTGAGACTGGTCACTTATTTCTCTCAGTCTTCTGCTCATTAGTATGAGTTTTTATTACTGTTGTTCCCAGAAAGATGCTTTCAGTTCTTGGACACTACAGATAGGCACATTACAAGTCTTGATTAAGCCTGTTATTGAGCATTAAATTGTCCTGAGTTAAGACAACAGCTTTTTGAGTTATTTATTTAATAGAGAAACCAAACTGATTAGTTTCAGCTCGTGTCAAGAAACTTTCTTGGAATCATTCCTAAATTTATATAGCTCACAGTCTTTTTAAAACCAATTTAACTGCAATTGTTTATAAAACTGAAACGTTGATTAGATTTTACTTGCAAGTTCAGATTATAGGAGTGAATGGCATATAGCTATTATACTCCTTTCTTAAATATGAAATTTATAAAGCCCATGTGGATCTACTTATAAAACCCTCTTTATGAGACAGGTTGTCTTTGCTGCTGAAAGCCTAGGTAGAGCACCAGCTTTCAGAACTGGCTGGGAAACAAGCAACCATAGGCATGTCTTATTTCTACTATTGCCTCAGAAAATAGTTTTCTGTTAACATGAAATTAAAAGTGTAATTATACATGTGTATCATACTTTTAGGATTCTAAGGGAGGTAGTTCCTGTTTTGCAGAGACTAATTTTATTCATGAAGCCTGATTAGAGAACAAAGGTTAAAGGTGTTCCAGCCCATGGGAAGCACATACGTCCATCTAAAATTTTTATGCTATTATTTAGGAGAGAGCTGATCAAAAATAATTCCTCTGCCAGCTTTTTGCAAGGCTTGAAGTTTCACCATCATGATCATATTTATTAAGGGCCTTCTAGAGATGAGTAATTTACCTGGGGTTCATTTCGGTGTTTGAAAAAAGAGCTCAGAAAGAAGACCTGTTAGCCAGAATGTTTTTACCTTTGACTGAATAAGGTTCAGTGTTCATTGTCACCCAACTGCGGACCTAGTGAAATCAACCTGATAAATCTTGGTGAGGGTGAAAAAGAAAGGACACTTAGCTTTCCCTTGATGTGATTTGGACATATTCTGGGCTGTTGATGGGCGTCTTGGCTGTGAGTAGTCAGGTTGCTTTGGGGTTGAGTCTATGTTTGTGCAGACTTATTTCCCTACCTCCTTTGGACAAGTTCAGCTAGGAATATCTTGAGACTTTCTAGTAGTCTTTATTGACTTGGCCTTCCAGTTTTATCAAAACTTTGGCAAACTCAGACCATAAGTTAATACCATAAATTCATTTAATATGTGAATAACTGCAATTTTGAATGCTTGACATTATAAATTAAGTACAATTAGTATAGAAATCGCTTGCATTGTTAGTTGACTTGAGATTTGTTTAATCAAGTTTCTCAGAGTTATATTTAGATTTCGTCGTGATGGGATGAAATTTTACCTTTCAATTTATTTTTTTACACCATCTAGTGGCTCAGAATGAGTGGTGCAGGTAATTGCAGCTATTGTGCACAATCAGAATGGTGTCATAAATTCAACTTTAAATCCAGCTTGGGTTATTACTTTCCTGTCTCATGTCAGTAAGATATTAGCATTAATCATGAAAAATTTTGTTCATCATTCTGAATTAAATATATAAATTGTATATATAAGGAAGAATACGTTTTAAGGATTCTAAAATAGTATTTGTAGAGACATAGAAAATGTGTACTTTGTAAAGAAATTAATGCCATGACTTGTCTATTAATAATAAATAAGACCATTTAAAAGATTTTAAAGATATGTAGCTTTCTTTTAGTAATGGACTCATTTATAATTTGAAATACCAAATTATCATTGTTTAATTTACCATCTAGAAGTTTGTCAGTTCTGAAAATATTCTTTAAAAAGCAACACAAAATACTTTAAGAAAACATGCATGCTTTCAATATAAACAAACATTTAGACAAAACAAGAAATAAAATTCCATGCATGATAATGAAGAGTGTTTTAATTTTGTAAATGTAATGGCAGAAAAACATTTAGCTTGGGGATTAGGCTGTCTTCATTTAAAAATCACTATAGAAATATAGTTTGATTTTAAAATTCAATATTTTTTTTTCTGTTTTGCAAGAAAGCCTTGATGGAATGTTAGCTGTGCTCAGTCAACCTGGGGATGATTTATTTATTTTAGGCCTCTTTTGAGAGTTACATAAATCTTAGCCTTTATTTTTTATTTTTCTTCTGGTGCAAATCAAATGTTGCAATAAAGAAAGAAGGGAGATACTGTGCTCTTCCCCCTTCCTTTTTTAACATTTTCCAATTAGCAGCTCTCATGTGACCCCCTGGTTGAGCTAGCCCCTCCTTCAAAGTGTCCAGCATTTTTTTAGTTTTAACCTTTGAACCTCACTAATAATAAATCTAAATACCGCTTGCCTTAAAAGGCAAGCCTACTACTTTTTGCTTTACATTTCTTTTCATATAAGGTTGTTGCTGTTTTTTTGTGTTAAAATTAAAATAGTTCAGTGGAGATTTGGAAATCTCTTTTTCTAAAAAAAAAAATGGAGCAAATTTATAAATACTGATAAAAGCAGAAGTTGTGATTTTAATGACAGTTGTATTGTTAGTGAATTAACAATTGGTTTCAGATTCATTTGATGGGGGGAAATCATATTTGGGATAAAAAACCTGTATTTATTTTCTTAAGAAATTGGGCTGTTTAAAATAATACTATTTTTTATTAGTTTTTATTTCATTTTTATTACCACTAAATGAAACAGGAACATAGTATCATAGCTAATAGTATTTTCCCAGAACGAGATTATATAGCAGTAGGTATATTCCGAGATCTCAAATGCCATTTTGGTTGTTATTCTTTTTTGCTCATCTGGATTTCTATCCTTTATTAGTTTATCTTTTAATCTGTACTCAAATAAATTGCTAACCACATTCTTATAGTTACTTTTAAAGCAATAAATTATTTTTAGAGATATAATAACAGACAAGCTATACTTCAGAAAAGAGACACACTACTTTGATATTAAAAGAAAAATGAGAGAGTTAAGAATTCTGGAATATTTTATCCAGTCTAGAGCATATGCGACTAGCTTTGCAGACTTTTGAGAAACTTTTTTATTAAGTCAAACACAGGAAATGTAGGTGAAGACAGTGGTCACTAGTATACAATAAAAGGGTGCTTTTCGGTGTATATTGGTTGGAGTTTCAAGCAGTACCTCCCTTAAAATCTGTTTGGTTGACTTTTTCCAGTGATTGGTAAATTGTGACTGTCATTGACCATTTGCTTCTCATTGTAAGAATGTAAAGATTCAGTTACTATGGTTTGTTTGGCTTCAAACCAATGCTAATAAATAAAATGAAAGTCTTGTTGAGCTCTACTGGCAGAGGGAAATAAGTTATTTTTTAGCTTAGTTTTTAATTTGTGACCATATGATCCAGTGTGCCACAAATAGCCTG